CGGTGTCATCTTAACAGTGAGAATTACACTAAAATGAAAAATTATTGAACTTAAAGGATTTTCCTGTGCAAAAACAAGCTATCTCTGCTACTGCTGTTGGCAGATATATAGCTTTAAACAAAGAATATGTTTTAAAAAGCAAAAGCTGGGCAATCCTTGTCCTCATTCCACATGTCTTAATACACTTCTATAATTGCCTAAAGTTTAGCAGGTGACTTGGTTATATTTGTATATTATTGCAAACATGCTACCTGCTGTGTGACTTCAAGAACACAGACAGGCACACACTACAGTCATCTGTATTCTTTTGAAATATGTATATTCTAGCCAAAAATTCTGCATACGTTATATGGAATGACTTTTTTTTTTTAAAGATTTTATTTATTTATCTTTAGAGGGGAAGGGAAGGAGAGAGGGAGAGAAACATCAATGTATGGTTGCCTTTCGTGCGTCCCCTGCTGGGAACTGGCCTGCAGGGAACCTGCCTGCAACCCTGGCATGTGCCCTGACTGGGAATCGAACCGCGATTGTCTGGTTCGCAGGCCCGCGCTCAATCCACTGAGCTACACCAGCCAGGGCTGGAATGACTTTATTATAGTTTAATTCTTGAGCATTTCCTTATTAAGGGACTTTTAAGGTCCTAATCCGAGAAATCTGATATTGCCATCAATTCACTGCTCTATTCATACAGGATTTGCTTGCTCTGCAGTTGTAGAGAATGAACAAAATAATCTAGGTACGAAAGGCTCTGTAAACAGAGAGATGAGTGGCAGCTGGGGTAGGCGAGTGGAAGTAACTGTACCTGTAACGTGAGGAAGTTGGAGACGCCAGGTGTCCAGAGAAAGTCTAGGTGCTGTGAGTTTAGCAGTCTGTAACACTAAGTGCTGAGCATCATTCGTGCACTCAGCAGCTGTCTCCTGAGCACCTACCTTCTTCCTGTCCCATAACAGGAGGCCTGGAATAAGAATTAAGACAGATACACATAAGGAAATACAACTCAAAGTAGAGTCATAGGTGCCAACAGAGAAGTGCATGGAAAAAGCTGTGGGAGTTTAGGGAAGAGAGAGGCTTTCGTTTGTTGGAAGGGGTCTGTAAGTTGGAGTTGGTGGGGCTTGAACAGGCTTTGAAGGAAGGGGAGAGGGGGGATTCTGGGGATCTTGCAGAGAGCAAAAAGGTTACCGCAGGTAGAAGGAGGAGAAAATTGGAAACATTTCCAATTTTCCAGAAAATGTTTATCCTTCATGTGTGAAACATTAGTGAATCAGTAACAGGAATGTAGTATATTTGGGTTTTCATATACTACTCGGCTCCTACAAAATACTCAGGAGATGAAAAGTTACAGAAAGGTGCAACTGAATTGATCTTGAGGTTGGAGGAACTTTCATTTAAAGCTTAATTTTTTATTATTATTTTTTTAACTTTTTTATTGATTATGCCATTACATTTGTTCTATTCCCCCCCATTCCCCTCCACCCTGCATGCCCCTCCCCCACCATTTCCCCCTTTAGTTCATGAACACGTGTCTCAAATTCTTTAGATTCTTTATTTCCCCTACTATTCTTACCCTCCCCCCTACCTGTTTTCTATCTACTGTCTATGCTACTTATTTTCTGTACCTTCTCCCCCCTTCTCCTTCTCCCACTCCCCTGTTGCTAATCCTCCACATGATCTTCATTTCTATGATTCACTCCTGATCCAGCTGTCCTCTTAATTTGCTTTTGTTTTAGGTGTGGTTGTTAATAACTATGAGTTTGCTGTCCTTTCACTGTTCAACTTTTTTATATTTTTCTTAGGTAAGTCCCTTTAATATTTCATATAATGAGGGCTTGGTGATGATGAACTCCTTGAATTTGGTCTTATCTGAGAAGCACTTTATCTGTCCTTCCATTCTAAATGAAAGCCTCTTTGCTGGATAGAGCAATCTTGGTTGTAGGTCTTTGGTTTTCATGACTTGGAATACCTCTTTCCAGCCCCTTCTTGCCTGTAAGGTCTCTTTTGAGAAATCCTGCTGACAGTCTGATGGGAACTCCTTTGTAGGTGACTGTCCCCTTATCTCTTGCTGCTTCTAGGATTCTCTCCTTCATTTTAATCTTGGCTAATGTAATGATGATGTGCCTTGGTGTGTTCCTTGTTGGGTCCAACTTCTTTGGGACTCTCTGAGCTTCCTGGATTTCCTGGAAGTCTATTTCCTCTGCCAGAATGGGGAAGTTTTCTTTTATTATTTGTTCAAATAAGGTTTCCACTTGTGACTCTTCCCCTTCTGGTACCCCTATAATTTGAATGTTGGAACGTTTAAAGATGTCCTGGAGATTCCTAAGCCTCTCCTCATTTTTTTGAATTCTTGTTTCTTCATTCTTTTCTGTTTGATCATTTTTTTCTTCCTTCTGGTCCACTCCATTGATTTGAGTCCCAATCTCCTTTCCATTACTATTGGTTTCCTTTGCATTACCATTCATTTCAATTAGTTTAGCTTTCATATGTTTCTCTAGTTTGTGACTAAAATCAACCAGTTCTGTGAGGATCCTGATAACCAGTGTTTTTAACTGTGCATCTGAAAGTTTGGCTGTTTCTTCATCGCTTAGATTTATTGGCTCTGGGGCTCTGAGTTGTTCTTGAGCCATTTAGGTCTGTTCGCGCTGGTAAGAGGAGCGAAGCCTTAGTTGTTTACCAGGGCGGGGTCACCCAGGTCGCTGGTTTGTGACGCTGTGTGTGGGGGCGTGGTCAGAGAGGGAGCAATGGCGGTCCTCTCCGCTAGCCCAGTTTGTCCCCAGTTTGTCCCGTCCCACCACTCGCCCCGGCCTGTTTATCCGAGCAGAATTGTGGGAGCCTGCTGCCCCGTGCCGTGTGGTCTCAATGCTCGCCTCTTCACTGGTCTATCTGCACGCAGATGCGCGACCTACTGCAGACGGCCAGCTGCGCCTCTTCCCTGTGTGCTCCCGTAGCTAGCCCCAGGATCCGTGCCTTCGGCTGCTTGCGCACCACCAGGTCAGGGATCTTTTTGGTCAACTGGCTCTGCTGCTGGCTTTGCCCCCCTTACCAGTTTAGCCGAGCATTTTGTCCTTTTTTCAGACTCCGTATTGTCAATTTTCTGTGTGGTCTGGTTGTGTTTATCGTTGTTAAAAATAGTTGTTCTTAGATTTGGTTGTGCACGGAAGCAAGGTGGGTCCACCTATGCCTCCATCTTGGCGGAAGTCCTAAAGCTTAATTTTATATGGGTTCTAACATAAATGTTTCAATCCATAAATTAATAATGTTTCTTATAAAGAAAACCACGATGATAAAAACACATGGGCTACCACCTTCAGAAGGTGCTAGGGAACCAATTTATTTCGAAAACTGGTAGACAAAGGAGAAAAAACCCAAACATTTATCCTGCGTTCCCATGTAAACTTTGTATTACTGGTACCAGATAACTAATAACCAGTCATTTCTCGATGGAAATATTCTAGCTAATAAGTGAGGATGGACTGGTAGAATTTAAATATTAAATACCACCACTTTGCAATTTCTAATGAAATAATATGCCATCAATGACTGCTAATAAAGCAAAAGAAAGATAACTGGAAATATGTTTCATGGTTAGTAAATATGCAGTTATGAAATACGCAATTACTTATAAAGGGTTCTTATCAAAAATCAAACCTGAATTTGATTAAGTATCTATAGACAACCACCAGGGGACTGATACACTTGTTAAGTGACATGAGGGGAATGCAGTCAGCAAATGCCAGGCTGGGAAAGTATAAACATATGGTCCAATATCTTCAGCAGATAAGGAGGGGACAGAGTGGGGGAGGAAAAGGAGAGGTGGAGGAAAAAGAGGGACAGAGATTAAATAGATGAATAGACACAGGTAGGTAGGTAGATGGATAGATAGCAGTTTCAGGACAAGTACAAGAAAATCCTACTTTACATCATGACTTATTTTCCACAATCTGTAAATAGTTCGGAGAAACTCATAGAGGAGTTCAGGGAGCCTCCCTTAACCTTTTGGAGCAGACAGCCGTGCTCTGAATTTGTAACAAACACGATTCCCTGTTTCAGAGATGAGGTGCCGTGGTGTAGCCTGAGCCATTATAATGATCGAATGTTTCTGCTGCCTGAGTGTTTTGAGCTTTGAAGAGGACTGTGCTTTTGCAGAGGAGGAATAGATGTTATTCAGTTTTAAAACTACCTATAACTTTTAAGAATTAATTTATTGAAGTATAACGATACCGTAAGTGTGTACTTAAGTATATACAACTTCAATGAATGTTTGTACACACACGCACATCAGGACAGAGAATATTTCCTGTACCCTGAAGTTTCCCTTTAATGCCTTTCTCTGTCCTCTATCCCCTTCCCCAAAGGTAACCAATATTCTGAGTTCTGTCATCACAGGCTAGTTTTGCCTTTTTGTTGTTGTTGTTTACCTTCGTAAATGGCATCATAACAACTTGTAAACTTTTATGTCAGGCTTTTTTCATTCAACATAACGTCTGAGAGATTTGCTCATGTTTTGAATATATCAGCAACTGGTTCTTTTTTATTGCTATTTAATATTACATTGTATGAATATATTTCAGTTTATCAGTACTTATTCTCCTGTAGCTTAATATTCGGGCATGTCTACCTACTATGCACGAATAAAGCTACCATGGCCATTCTTATATCTTGGAAATTGCTAGGTCATAGGGTGGATGTATGTTTAATTCTGGACATAATGCCAAACAGTTTTTCTGGAATGATTGCACATTGGAGATGCAGTGCCACCAGCAGGGTATGAGAGTCCCAGCTGCTCATATCCTTGCCAGCACTTGGTATTACCATCCTTTTCAATTTTAGCCGTCGTGCTGGGTTTTCAGCTTTAAATTTGAAGCCCTGGCATTTATTTCTTCAGATGGTTCAAGTTTGCATCCAAATATTACACAGGTCCTTGTTTGTCTAATTGTTGGCTCCTATGTATGATCAGTTCTTCATTTTAATTCTTAAATTAAACTTACTTTCTCTCTTTTTCTCAGTTGTCACAGGTGGGACTGACGGGATTGGAAAATCATATGCAGAACAGGTAGGTCATTTTCAAGACCTTTCTTTAATACAAAATGAGTGTAAAACTTTCTACCCTGGTAAGCTAGAGCTGTAAAATTGTAGTGTAATTTTATTTTATATTGTGTAAGTATGAACAGTCTTTGGTTTCTATTTTTTAATTTTATTTTTCAGTTACAGTTGACATTTAAAATTATTTTATATTAGTTTCAGGTATATAATCATATAATTTATGAAGTGATTCTTCTGATAATTCCAGTACCCACCTGACACCATACATCATTAATAAAATATCATTGACTCTAATCCCTTTGCTGTACTTTACATCCCTGAGACTGTTCTGTAACTACCCATCTATACTTCTGAATCCCTTCACCTTTTTCACCCAGCCCCTTAACCCCCCTCCCGCCTGGCAACCCTCAGTCTGTTCTCTGTATCTAAGAGTAGCTACAGGCCTTAAGAGTGTGTTTCTGTTTTGTTTGTTCTAAAAATCCAGGCCCTAAGAGTGTGTTTCTGTTTTGTTTGTTCATGTATTTTATTTTTGGGGTTCCACAATAAGTAAAATTATATGTTATTTGTTGTTCTCTGTCAGACTTACTATACTTAGCGTAATACCCTCTAGGCCCATCCATGTTGTTGCAAATGGTAAGATTTCAATCTTTTTTTTTTAATGCCTGAGTACTATTTCATTGTATATATTAATATTACCACATCTTCTTTATCCACTGGTATATTGATGGGCACTTGGATTGCTTCCATTCTTGACTGTTGTAAATATTACACTGTAGTGAACATGGGTGTACATATATCTTTTGAATTAGTGTTTTGGATTTCTTCAGATATGTACCCAGAAATGGACTTGCTGGATCGTATGGTAGTTCTGTTTTGTTTGAGGAAACTCCATACTGCTTTCCACAGTAGCTGCACCGATCTGCATTCCCACCCACAGTGCACCAGGGTTCTTGTTTATTGATACAAGGATGATGGCCATTCTGGCAGGTGTGAAGTAGTATCTCATTTGGTATTAAATTGCATCTCTCTGATGATTAGTGATGTTGAGCATCTTTTCATGTTTATTGTCCATTTGTATGTCCTCTTTGGAGAAGTGTCTGTTCATGTTCTCTGCCCATTTTTTTAATTGGATTTTTGTCTGTGTTAGTTATATGAGCTCTATAAATTTGGGGTATTAACCTCTCATCAGATGTATTGCTCACAGATATCTTCTTCCATTCAGTATGTTGTCCTTTTGCTGATATAAAAACTTTTCAGTTTTATATACACCCATTTGTTTATTTTTCCCTATGTTTCCCTTGCCTGAGTAGATATATCAGAAAAAATGTTACTAAGAGAATTGTCAGAGTTTACTGCCTATGTTGTCTTCTCAGAGTTTTATTTGGGGGGGCCTTACATTAAAGTCTTTAACCCATTTTGAGTTTATGGTATGTATGCTGTACTTGGAGTATATTATGTAAGAAGTCAGTCGCATTTTCCTTCTTTTGCGTGTATTGGGCAGACCTCAGTTTTGAACTGTTTTCCAAAAGGTGGATCTATTATCATGTAGGTTATATTTCCAGGCCATCGTTTTAAGGTATCATTTTCACAAGAAGGACTGTGATTGATGGAAAGGTATTGGCAGGCGCAGGCAAAAGATTCAAGGTATTGGTACTGTGATGATAGCGCAGGAAACCACGGTAGTTTGAAGACCATCACACAAAGAAGGAACCTTGGCCGCGCTCTGCAGGCGCGCTTCCCTGCCTTCCGGTTCCGCGGACGCACCCTCCTCCTGCGAGACTGCCCAGTTACGACGAAGATCCGCGGGATCTCTCTCTTGTCATTCCCAAACGTTTCTTTTTAAAAAATCCTCCTTTGTTTTCCCAGTTTTTTGCATTGGATATTGAAACTATAGAAAAGTTGCAAGAAGCATATCATGAACACCCACATACCCTTCACCAGGATTCACCAGTTATTAGCATTTGCCACATTTAACTTTATTGTAATGATCATTTAGCTGGGCTGTTTGTATGTTATAGACACCATGACAATCCATCCCTAAATATTTCAGTCTGAACCTTCTAAGACCTAGAACGTTCGCCCTTATGCAGTGACCATACACATGAAGTTTAACTCGATACAATGTTATTTATGTAACATACAGCCCGTATGCAGATTTCCCAGTTGTCCCCAAAACCTTTCTTATAGCTCTTTTAGAGGTGGTTCCACATCCAGTTAGAGATTAATTAATATATTGAGTTTAGGTGACAAGTCTCTTGACTGGAAGAGTTCCTTAGCCTTTGTGTATGTGCATGCACAACAGTGGCCTTTTTGAAACACCCAGGCCCATTGTTTTGTGAAAGGTTTCTCCATTTGGATTTGTCTGATTACTTCCTCGTGATTAGATTCAGGTTAAACCGGTGCTTTTGTGCCCTGACTTTATCTTATCAGAAGGCACAAGGAGTCCACTTGTTTCATGATTGACTATATTAAGATAAATCATTTGTGACAATGCTACCCACCATAATTCTCCATTATAAAGGGACCTTTCCCCTTTGTAATCAATAAGGACTATGTGGGATGGTTCTTTAGGACTGTGAATACACCATTTACCAATAATTTTTCATCCAGTGGTTCTAACACCCATTGACAATTTTTTTCCTAAATTAGTTATTACCATGGTGTTTTTAAAATGGTGATTCTGTAATGATATCTTCCCTTCACCATTTATTAAATGCTGTTTTTTTTTTTTTTTAAAATAAAAGCTCTACTTTGTCCTTCTTCCCCTTCTAATTAAAAAAAGAAACAGACCAAAAACCTATCAGTGTGGACTCATGGATTCTTTAGTGGTTTTACAGCAGAGTAATTTAACAAATTTTTGCCAACCTTTGTTATTTTTATTTTTTGAAAAAGTGGTGTAGCCCTGACTGGTGTGGCTCAGCATGTTGTACATCATTCCGAAAAGGGACAGGTTGCTGGCTCTCCGTGGGTCTGGACACATGCCTGGGTTGCAGGCAAGATCCCCGGGCCCGGGTGCGCAAGAGGCAACTGGTTGTTGTGTCTCTCACACATAGATGTTCCCTTCTCTCCCTCCCTTTCTCCCTCCCTTCCCCTCTACAAAGTAAATAAATAAAAGTTTTATATCTTCTCAGTTGCAATACCATTTTTCACTTAATAAAAACGAACTTTAGGATTTAAGACTGGAATATTAGTTTAGTAAATTGCTAATGGTTCACAGCAGCTAATTTATTGCTCATTTATATACTGTCTGGAATAGTTCACTAAAAGCTTGTGTGTAGATTAGTGTTTTTCCTTTGCCCCTAAATTTATGTGTCTCTGGAGTAGAAATCACATTCCTGTCAATCTTACTCATTCTGTGCAGCACTTAGACAGTGCCAGGTAAGTACATAGAAGGTGCTCCTCAGGAAATTATTAATTTGTGCAATTAACTCTCTTAGTTTGCCTTTGTTGTCCATAAAGTATAACGCTTAGTAAAAAGTTTAAGATCGACTCTGCTTTTAAGAATTGCTAACATCCTGACGATGGTTTTCTTTGCTGTTCCTCCAGTCTTCATGGACAATCCGAATAAAAACTACTTTAAAGTTAATTTTTAAATTATAGAAGTAATAGATAATTATGGTTTGAAAAACTCAAACTGTCTAGATGGATGCAAAATGAAAAGTAACCATTTTATTTCTTCTAAAACCCTTTGACATTTATATACTAGCTTGATCGATAAAGTTAACCCTTCGGAGAATCCTCTTGTAAAGTCTTCACTTTGCCCATTCGTTCCACTTGGGTTTATTTTCTTATTTTTTATGCCTGGGTGTGATTCCGTTGTCTGGTGTCTCTTTTCCTGTTTCAGTTAGCAAAGCGTGGGATGAAGATTGTCCTTATCAGCAGGTCACAGGACAAGCTGCAGCAGGTGGCCAGTGAAATAAGTAAGTTCCCGCAGTGCCGTCCCCTCCCCTCGTGATTCGAAGATGAACACCAGAGCTTCTTTTTTATTCCATTAACAAGCTCTTGTAAACGTGGATCATCGGGTTTTTTCAGATGAATAGAGGGCTATTGCAATTTGCTTAAAATGTATTGTACTGACTCATTTGTTTGAAGTCAAACTCTCTGATTATTTTATCATGTTTGGTCTACTTATACATTTCCTGTTGCTTCACAAGTATTCTTGTGTTTTTTTTTCACTCTTTGATTTATAGTCTCCAAAGTATGCATCCTATGATTGAGGAAAATACAAAGGTAGCAGATAGACATGTGACAGGGAAACTGTTTTGAACTTTCTTCAGTTAGCTGGACTTGAGACCAGAATTATATTATTGTTACAGAACAACAGGTCTGATGGGGGGGCAATATTTGGCCCACCTAGGGATGCCAAAAACTGCTACAGAACAGGGGTCCCTCCCAAGGACAGAATACTAATATCTACTGGGTTCTTCTGTCCACCGCCAGTTGGAAAGACATCTCTCAATGCCAGAGATTTGTGAAAAGGAAACAAAATGTTTATTTAATGCTATTTAGGCCTAATGCCTCCACTAAAATATCAAAGTCCTTTAGGGTATACACCTACACCCACACAGCTCTCTCTTCTCCCATTGTCCCAACTCTGGATACCATATATCAGGAAAGGAACACACGTCTGTTTTTCAGGCTACTGGCACCGTTAGCTGTGTCACCGTGCAGGCAGGATCTCTCTCTAGTTAATCCAAAAGTCATGTGGCACCCTCTCACGGTCCACTGGCAAGAGTTCTTTGTACCCAGTTCCAGTCAAAGTCTCTCCTGCTTTCCAGGCCACGCGGCCAAAGAGGGCACCCAAAGCCACGTGGGCCTCTTCTACCAAAGCTGCAGGGGTCCACACTCCACCAAAAGCATGTGTCTTTCTTCTTCACCTGGCTGGAGGGATCTCCATTCTGGCAAGGCTGTTTGGTTTTCTCTTTCACCTGGGAAAGAGAGGGTCCGCACTCTGCCGAAACCACGTGGCTTCCTCTTTTATCTCACCAAGAAGGGGTCCTTACTCTGCTGAAACCGCGTAGCTCTCCCTTTCATCTGGCTGCAGGGGTCTGCGCTCTGGCCAAAACCACATGGTTCCCCCACCCCCCCCCCTTCACCTCGGCAGGAGGGGGTCTTAACTCAGCTGAGACCACGTGGCTCTCTCCCCTCTTGGCTCTCTCCTTTCACCTCACCAAGAGGGGGTCCTTTACTTTGCTGAGACCCTGTGACTCTCTTTTTCAATGGCTGCCGCATCTCAGTTTAAATCTCCGCACCCATCCTCCTTTGCGGCCTCATTTCCAACTCCTCCTACAATCAGTTAGCCAGGAGTCCCGTATCCTCCCAGCTTTACTGGGCTGCCATCATTAGTCTGGGCAGATATGGCCCCATGGCCTGGAGCCAGTCTTCTCCAAGCTCCCACGCAGGTGCTGTGACTCAGGGGACCAGCCCCTAGTTACATCCTGGGTTGAAGCCACTCCCTTCTCCCTGGCTCAAACCATGGCCACAGCTATTTAACATATCTATGAAACCAGTTAAAAGTTATAGATATGTTAAATGACCATTCTAGAGGTTAGCTGCAAAACTTGCTATGCAAAACAGCTCTCAATGGCCCTGGCTCCATTTGTGCCTTCCCCTTGGGGGGGGGGGGGCGGAACACATCTTAGTATTTCTTGGACACCCTGAGCTCTGGACCCCATTCCAAATTATTTTCTGGACCCCCCTCTTGGCTGCTTCCTGTTACATTATGGCAAAGACCTTTTGAAGTGACATCTAAATCACAACCGGATGGATACACCAGTGCTGTCCATCCCCTTGGTGAAACTTGCTGACATTCCCAGGATGGGGACTGTGGCTGGCAGGCTTGTCACAGTGATGCCCGTGCACTTGGACACCTGCAAGTCAAATGACTTTCTCATTGAGAGTCAGTTGTGTTTGTTCTCCAACTCGCTTATTCTGCAAACTGATGCATCTTGGTCTAAAAAGAAGAGTTCTTTCTATAAAAACTAAGTTGAATTCTCTGAAAAAAAAGTAAGAAAAGTCAGTTCTTTTGGAAATTGGCTGTGGAATTAGGGGCTAACAAGACAAGTGTAAGGTATTGGAAAAAATTGTAAAAAGCGAGAAGACATTTGCTCTCCGGTTATTTCTTTTGTGTTAAAGCTTTTGCTGCATTTCCAAACAGCTGGAGCTGCCATATAGTAGCTGATGCATCGTGAGTGTGATTCATGCAAGGAAGACGGGCTCCCTGTCTGCAGATCCAAACTCACGAGAAGGCCTGGGCCCCCCACCTCCACCCAGAGGATCAGTGGATTGTACTTATGCATGGTTTATTTATTTGTTTATTTTATTTTATTGTTCAAGTACAGCTGTCTGCATTCCCCACAACTCCAGCCATCCCCATCTCCCTCCCCTGCTTCCAACCTCCCTCCCCCCCCCCCCCCCCCCCCCCCCCCCCCGTTTTGTCCAGTGTCCTTTATAGTTGTTCCTGAAAACCCTTCCCCCCTTGCCCTCCATTTTCCCCTCCTTCCTCCCCTCTGGTTACTGTCAGATTGTTTCTAATTTCAGTGTTTCTGGTTCTAGTTTGCTTGCCTGTTTGTGTTGTTGATTAGGTTCCACTTATATGTGAGATCATATGGTGTTCGTCTTTCACCGCCTGACTTATTTCACTTAGCATAAGGCTCTCCAGTTCCATACATGGTTTAAATGAAAATAAAATGCTTTTAATATGTATTTATTGTTTTGTAGGATTCCTTGCTTTAACTGATTTCTCTAAGTAGCCAACTAACAAACTCCCCCAATTCTTGGAGAAGAGGGGATTTCTACTGTTTTGGATGCTTATTTCCCCCCACATTTACTGAGACATAATTGACTATCAAGTTCTCTAAGTCTAAGACATACAATGCACTGTATTTTTATTAACATTACCACCTACTACTAACATTTATATAATGCTTTATTATTTATTCCATCCCATTTGTTATTGCCCTTGATCTTTCGAGCATCCTTGTGAGGTAGCAGACATTCCTTACCTTGTGAGGTAAGGAATGTTTTTGTTATTTTTTTTCCAGAGCATAGCTCATCCTACTGGACAAATTGTACATAGATGCACTTAGTTTTTGTGTGAAAATGATCTTTATAGATAACTAGTAATAAGTTTGCTAAATTATTTTTAACCCTGCTGAGAGCACAGATCTTTACAAAGGTGAGCATGTGGTATAAAGGTATACAGGAAATCGCTGGCATTTAAGGATTTTAACTTTCACGGTTTGACTATGTAAATGCCGCCCTGAAGGTCCAAGACAACAGTATTTTGTGGTTCTGCTGAGGTGTGAATTTGAATTAAGCTGTGACACTAACGAGCGAGTGTGTAGCAGTATAGTCAGTTCGGTGTCGCTGAACTGAGCACACCACCTGGGTCTCAGTACTCTTTCTTTCTTCAGTACTTGTAGTGCGTGTGACTCTCACAGTGATGACATGTGCTGTGTGTATGCACATGTAAAATTGTCTGTTAATGAAAGCATCTACTAGTTGCCAAAAGTAAAGGTTCACATGCAGAAAATAGAAGCTTTTCGTTAAATAAAACGTTGTTTTGAAATGCTATGGTATGAATGAATTTGCCATCTGCTTGATACAGAAGCCAGAAAAGCTGCCTCATGCCACTCCTTCAACAAGTGCTCCAGCTGTATAAAAATTGCCCAGTGAGTCAGAAGATACACTGTGAGAATATTCGAGAATCTGGTTAACTTGTGGTGGGAAGCGACGCATAGATGTGGACAGAAATGTGACCCTGGGTTGGGACAGGGTTCTGTTCAAGCATTTTCATGATGGAGCAGGTGGTGAAAGCACTGAATTGACCTTTATTTTAAGGAAAGTTTCCTTTTACTTATGGAAAGTTTTGGAAAATATTTTTTTTCTGTGAATAATAGAAATTTAACAGAAGAGGTGACATCAGCTGAGGACATACACAGAGATTTATAAACTTCAAGTTTTCCACTCAGGTGCAAACCATCTCTTTGGAAGGGTTATGTTTCCCTGAAGGTATCTCTTCCAGGAGAAGAAAGTACCAGAATGTGATGTTGACAAAGACAGACTAACTCTATTTACGCTTTCAACGCATCTCTGTGGAACGCCTGTGTACCAGGTGCCAAGCTGGGCAGCCAGGGTGCAGAGCTGAACGAGACAGATGCAGTCCTCACCCTCCGGGGAGTCGTGGACCAGTGGAGGAGACAGACAGAAGAAATAGATCCCAAAACCAAAAAAGCACAACAGACAAATAAGTAATTGCCGTTTGTAGTGGGTATCCTGAAGGAGGTGAAGAAGGTAGGGAGAAAAAATGGAGAGGTTCTTATTCTGTAGCAACATGACGAATTTTTTGAATGGCAAGGTGTTGAAGGGCCAGGCTAACGCGTCTTGCCCATCTAGTTGTACTCTAGTTACAAAGCCGGAGCCCGGTGGAGGGACTGTCCCCTGTGCCCCCTGAAGTATAGTGGTAGAGGGGTTGTGTGTGCAAAGTTACCTGTGACAAATCCCCTCTAACAGTCCTGTTCCTTCAGCTCTTGGATCCCTGCCTTCACATTATGCGAGGCAGGTTCTGACCTCTCAGATCTATTAAATGTAGGCTCTTATCAAGTCCAAGTTTTAGTCAGCCAACCAAGTTAACTCATAGGCAAGCTAACTATTAAATCTTAAATCTCTGTAAGTGACTCGTTTGAAAAATGGCCCAATCTGGTGTAATATTCTTTTTTCCTTGGTCTGATACTCAGAATCCATTCTCACACAGATGTCCTAGGTGTCTACCAATGCGAAAGAGCAAAATTTTGCAATTATTTTTGTGTGTAAGTTACTTATTACCTTTGTGGCTCCGGCTTTCATTTTTTCCTGGAGGATGCTGTGATAACAAGCCTGTAATGTGTGGCAGTAAGGGATACTCCAGTTGGGTCTTGAG